TATTATGATTGTGGTTGAAATATATACAATTCTTTTGCTGCACTTATTTGAGGGGTTTATGTTTTTACCTTTAATGTGTTACTATGGAAAATTACATTTATTATTTTCCCCTAATTTTACCATGCCGGCATTTCTGGAAATAAAAACCAATTTGGTCTTAATGTGCTATCTTTTTTCAGAACACTGTTTCTATTTTTGTTCATAAGTGAAGTTGGCATGTATATTTTATTTTGTACACATGGCTCCCCTGGTTTTGGTAACAAGTTTATACTAGCCTCATTAAACAAATTGGTGAGTGTTCCCTATTTTTTAATTCTCTGGAAGAGTTTGTAACAACAGTGTAATGATTGATTTTATGTGTCAACTGAACTAGGCTAAGGGATGCACAAATAGCCACTAAAACATTACTTCAGGGTGTATCTATGAGGACATTTCTGGAAGAGACTAGTGTTTGAATGAGTAACTGAGTAAAACAGATGGCACTCCCCAGTTTGAATGAGTAACTGAGTAAAACAGATGGCATGCTCCAATACACGGAAGGCCTGAACAGAACAAAAAAGATGCAGGGAGGTGAATTCACTCTCTCTGCTTGAGACGAGACATCTATCTTCTCCTGTCCTCAGACATCTGCACTCCTGGTTCTTGGGCTTTGGGACGCAGACCTCGACTTACACCATCAACCTCTGCTCCCAGGCCTTTGGACTTGGACTGAATTACACCACAGGTTTTCTGATTCTTTGGCTTATAGGTGCCAGATTATAGGAGTCCTTGGCCTTCATGAGTGCATATGCCAGTTCTCATAATAAATCTTCTGTTGATTTTCTTTCTCTGGAGAATATGACTAATACAAACAGATAATTTTTTTTTCCATAAAGATGGGTAGCAGATGTTGGTTTAGGTCTAGGCCTAAGTCAATGCAGCCTAATTTTTTTTCCTTTGAGTGGGAGTCTCACTCCGTCATCAAGACTGGAGTACGGTGGCACACTCAAGGCCACCCCAGCGTCAACTTGCTGGGCTCCGGTGATCCTTCTGCCTCAGCGTTCCAAGTACCCAGAACTACAGGCGTGCGCCACCACGCCTGGCTAATATTTGACTTATTATGGAGACAAGGTCTCACCAAGTTGCCCAGGTTGGTCTCGAACCTGCCGGCTCAGGGAATCCACTCACCTCAGCTTCCCAAAGTGCTGGGATTACTGGCTGAGCCACCAAATCCATCCTTACTTTTTTATAATGGTATAATTTTAAGCTTCTGGTTCAATTTATATAATGCCTATCTAATTATTAAGTCTTTTTCATTCTTAAATCAATTTTGGTTATGTTTTTATAATTTTAAGTTTTCATAAATATTATTTCATAAAGTTGTTCTTTACCTTTTTAACTTCTGCTGTCTATTGTTCCTCTTTTGGCCCTAATATTGTTAATTAGCATACTTAATAAACAATGATGGTAATAATTGTGACCAAAATACAACAGATTTTTTCCCCATCATTTCTTTAAACATATTTTACTCAAACCAATCTAAACTGAATGGTATTGTCTGAATTTATATTCCCTCAACACAACTAAATATGAGACAGAAACAAACGAATCACCTGGGAACTTGTGAGAAATGTAACTGATGGGCCTCACTAAATTAAGTGCTCTAGGGACTGATTGAAATCTGTGTTAAATCAAGCTCTCCAGGTAACTTGATGCTTACTAAAATTTGAGAATCACTGCTTAACACTATAAAATATTTTTTCTATCAAAGGATAAATTCATTTAACTTTATCCATTCTTATTTTAAGCTTTTATTATTAGAGCCCCCTTACAGGGTGCAATTCAGTGCATTTTCACAAAGTGAACACATCTTTGCAAGCAACACCCAGATCAGGACATTTACCTATAGTTCTGACTTTTAACACTATTGATTCATTTGCCTGTTTTTGAGCTCATGTATAGTACCTCATGTATAGTACCTTTGTTTTCTGGCTTCTTTTGTTCTATATTTAGTTCACGATAAACATTCATGTAGTTTCTATACAAAAGTTCATTTATTCCCATTCCAATGTAGTATAGGAATACAACACAATTTATTGATTCTACTATTAGGCATTTGAGTTGGTTTTTTTTCATAATTACAAACAGTCCTGCAACAAGCATTCTTATTTACACATAACTTTTAGTGAGGATGTGTGTCTTAGCTGGTTGCTGCTGCTATAACAAAATACCATAGACTGGGTAATTTACAAACAGTAGAAATTTATTCTTACAGTTCTAGAGGCTGGGAAGTCCAAGGTCAAGGTGTAAGCAGATTAAGTGTTTTCTTGTTGTGGCCTCACATAGCAGAAGGTGGAAGAGGGAAAGAACTAAGATGATCCCCTCAACCTTTTTTATAAGGTCACTAATCCCTTTCATGAGGGTTTCATTTCATGACTCTATCATCTCCAAAAGGCTTCACCTTTTCATATATTGGCAATTAAGTTTCAACAGATGAAATTTGGGGGACACATTTAGACTACAGCAACATGTATGTAAAATATACAAGGCATTAATCTGTATAAACGTAGTTCATCTGAAAGTTATTTAAAGAAAAACCCTTGTCACAATTATGAACATGTTTAAGTCTCAAAAGATATTCACTGTCACTTCAGATGACAGACAAGCAGGAAAATGCTTATATTTTTCATTAGTTAAAAAATGTTATTCTGTATTGTACTATGAACTCACTGAATATACATTTTTTTTTTTTTTTTGAGTTGGAGTCTCACTCCGTCGCCCAGACTGGAGTGCAGTGGCCGCTCCCCACCGCAGCCTCGACCTGCTGGGCTCCGGCGATCCTTCCGCCTCAGCCTTCCGCGTAGCCAGAATTACAGGCATGCGCTACCACGCCTGGCTGATTTTTGATTTATTGTAGAGATGAGGTCTCGCCAAGTTGCACAGGTGGGTCTCGAGCCCGCAGGCTCAGGCAATCCACTCACCTCAGCCTCCCAAAGTGCAGGATGACAGGCTGAGCCACCGAGCCCGGCTGAATATACATTTTAACATACAGAAATTTAGACTGTTTTTGTACAAAAACTCTAGAAAGTTTTTGTTTGATCACTTTATAACCTGTATTAATTAATTACTTTAAACATTTCAGCTTGCCTAGATCAGTGATGTGCAGTGAAAATATAATTTAAACCACATATGTACTTTTAAAATCTCAAGTAGCTACATTGAAAAATAAAACAGGTAAAATTAATTCTAATATATTGTGTTATTTCATTATACCTGAGCTATTATCACATCAACCTATAATAAATATAAATATGTTGAAATATATTACATTTTTATATTGTCATCAAAATCCCATGTATATTTTACATTTAAAGGATATCTCATTACAGGCTCTAAAATTTATAATCAGGCCCAAACTTTACCTGTACAATTACCATTTGTACACGTAATCCTGAACTGTACCCCATATCTTTAAAATAAATAAATAAATAAATAATACTTGATCAGTACTTAGACTTCATAAAATTTACACTTTAAAAAGTAGACTCACATACCCCTATTTAGCAACCATAAAGCTTTCCAATAACTGAATCAAGTCAGTTTGTAAATGTACTAAAATTAAATATTCAGTGACTGTGCCACACCAGCCACATTTCAAGAACTCAATAGCCACTTGTGTTTATTGGCTGTGCTGCTGGAGAGATCTAGGTCAACAAATTTTTGTTCTCCACACACTCATTTAAGCTGTACTGCAAATTCTAAAAGAAATGATTTTTACAAGCTATGGAATACAGAGAACTTTGAAATAAATGAGATAGAAAAAACAATAGAAGATGCGGCCATTCAGACACCTTGCCAAGAAAGTTTCTGCATAATAGAGTAGCAAGTCTGGGGCATTAATAGAAAGCTATTCTAATACCATTGATAGAACACTCCCATCACTTTAATAGTTATCTTATACGTTAGTCTACTTTTTTTATTCAAAAAATATTTGCTAGATGCACAAAAAGGCTGGTGACACCTAGGGCTTGCTCTCAATCAGATTGTAATTTAATCTTGGAGTTTCTAGGGACAGCAATGTTTTGTAAGACCTCTGCCCCTTGGCATTCTGAGGTGAACCTGCTGACATCACAATCCCTTTCGCCTGTTCTCATACGTTTACAAGTATTGGTTTGATCTAAATTCTCTGGTACCTTATGTTCTGCACACATTTCATCTAAGTCTCGTAATGACTGCCCCAGGCACCATCACATAAAAGTACACCGTATTGATAAATCATTGTCGCGTAGGAAAAAAAAAAAAAAGGAGGCAGCAATACAAATATTTTATTTAGTCCCCAAATAATCAGGAAACATCGCCATCCAAAAAGATCCGATGCTTAACTTCATTTTCTCAGGCTTCAAGAGAAAGCGGGACTCTCAAGACTTTTCAAGAGGAACTCCTCCAGTTGGCATAAATGCATTAAAGGACTTTACTTCTATAAGCGAGATGCCCTGTTTTTCAAACAGGTTCACAGAACAGCCCCAACACATTCCAGAAATACACGGAGTGCCGAACAGCTCAGCAATACTCCCACCCTCCGCTAACGCACGCCTCTTTGGGAGAATTTGACCGACCATCAAAACGCGCAAGTGCGCTCACGGCCCCGTAGCAAGTAAATCATGTGCCAAAATTAAACCTCGAAGAGCATCCTCGGAGCCTAGCCCACCTTCAGCACTAACTTCCCCCCACATTTACGATCCCGAAAACACCCCCAATACCCACATCGCTCCGCCCCCAACAGGAAAGGACCCCCTCCCCGGCGAGTTCCCACGCTCCTCTAGCCGGCCGAGAGCGCAGAGGATTCTTAGGGACGCCACTGCGCGTGCGTCTCAGTTCCGCGCATGCGTGCCAGTCCCGCGCATGCTCAGTGGCAGAAGCCGGCGGGGTCCTGGAGGCTAACGGAGGCCGTGCCCCGCCCCCGGCCCCCGCCCTCATCCTCATCGCAGAGCTTCCCGTTCGGCTTCCCGTTCGGCTTCCCCTTCCGGGCGGACAGGCCGCGGGCGCCGGTGTCTCGTTCTCCCCCCTACGTTGAGTCGGCTTCTGCAGCTCTCCACGGCGGGCATGGCAGCTCGGAGGAGCCGGCGGGCCGCCTTGGGACTCTGCGCCACAGGTAACGGGAGCGCATGGGCGGTGCCGACGGGTGCGTGGGGACCTGGCGGGGGCTTGGGGGCCGGGCTGGAGCCCGGGGCGGGGGCGAGGCCTGCAGGGACCGCGGAGATGAACCGCCCAGTCCCCGTCCTGGTCGCTTCCTGCGGGACCCTCCGCGCCGTCCTGCACCTCCGGCTACCTCGGGGTCCTTCCTCCACCCGGGCTGTGCCGGAGACCCAGCCTCCGACGTGGAGAAGATGTGGCTGGCGGCTGTTTGACCTTTGTCTCATCGTGGCATGAAGTTTCGGTAGCGCTTCCTCCGTTGCGAGGCGAGTCGGATGCCAGCGTCCCAACTTAGGGCCAGCTCTTGCTTTGGCTTTAGGTTCCGAGTCTTGTCACGTTTGAAGGATTGAGACCGCCGAGGCTTGAGCGAGGGATGGGCAAGGACAGATCACGGTCAGACCGCCGGAATTGTACAGTGTCAAAGTGACCAGAGTGTGTGTCAGCCTTTCTCAGCCGCCGCCTGTCAGCGTGGGGTACCGTGGTTCTCACTGTGGCTTGCTCACTTAGTCAGCAACCTTTTGGAGTCCAGGCACTGCTCCGGAATAAGCATTAGCGATGTAACCCGATGTTGTTTCTGTGTATTTTGGGGGAAAGAAAATAGTACTTGGACATTTGGAGTTTTTACCCAAAAGATAATGACTACTAGAGAAAAGGAAATGTAGATGAATGCTTTATCTTACTATTTCAAAGTGATAGATTGGTAAAAAGAAAAAAAGAGTGAAAATATGTAGAAGTAACTATTAGATGTGTTAATCTACGTAGAACTTGCTGGTTACAATATGGTTGCATGCAGAGTAAGTATTAAATGGGTGAGCTGCTTATGCTTTTGCGTCACTTCTATCCAGGGATAGATCCCTGATGAATTTTTTTTAGTAGACCAAAAAATGTCAAAAATATGTTATAGGTGTCTAAGCATACAACATAAGCCAAATAATGAATCCAAGCATTTATTGTGTACATTTTGTCTTCTCTTTTTTCTAGTTGTTTTACTTGATGTGGCCTTCTGTAGAGCATTTGTAGAAGATTTAGATGAATCGTGAGTATATATATGTGTAGTATGTTTAAACAGCGTTTTAACTTTGTCCAACTGAATATTTACGTGTGAATCTAATCTTTTAATGACGGAGACTAAGACATCCAATACTGAGATTGTAAACAAGAGAAGAAAATAATAATAAGGGAGACCAATGTTTATATATTCCTAATTATTTTTTCAGTTGTTCTAAGTTCCATATATGTACAAAATGGAAATGTGATCAGAAGAGTTTTACTAATAGTTTTAAGATTAAAAAACTAGCAAATCCTTCCATATTGCAATTCTTTTTTTAAAAATCATTTTACTTTTACTTATTGTGTGTTTTTGCTTTAATCATGTTGAGTGGGTACTGGAATTTGGTAACCACACTATATTTATCTTCATAATATCACAGCATTAATCTCAAGGCCTTGCTTATAGTGGGTGAGGACTCCAACTCCAGACTAAAATTCTATGTTTGATTCTTCAGGCTGGGACCTTAGACATTTCACAAGGCTTGTTGCGGGCCTCGTGGGGGAAGGTGCTCTCCCCACACCAAATATGGTGCACAATCAGTGCATTGCAGTCTCTGGAGGGAGGTGTTGTCAAGGGCTCAGGCCTTCCAGACCATCCATGCTCTTAGGTGTGTCTGCACTCCTAACGTAATGGCCTTTATTTGGAGGCCTCCTTGTTGGGGACACCACCTGAGAGGCATTTCCCAGGAAACTCTGCCACAACCTCCTTATCACAGGCCACAGCTGAGGCACTTTTCTACTCCTAGTCCTTTTTTCTCTCACTCCCCATAAAGAGGCAGAATCCTTTGGTCCATTACTCCTAGGCAGTGAGATAAATTTTTCTGTCTGTGTTATATCCACTTGACCTCTACCTGGGGGGGGGGCGGGGATGACACCCGAGGAGCTGGTGCTTCTTTTTTACCCCTTGGTTTACACTGTCACAGCAAATAAATAAAGGTTTGATTGTTACTTTCAGTCTAGCTTGTTGCCCTTAAATAGGTGGGGTGAGAGGGTGATCAGTTGATTACAGTGCTGGTCTGGAAGAAAAAGCCTGAGGGTCCCATGGGGCACTTGGCCAGTTATGCTGATGAGTCTTGGGGATGCAAATGGATCACTTATAGAAACTTTTAATTCTGAAAGGAACTGTTGTTAAGGAGGAGGTAATCTTTTTACACGTAGTGCCTTGTGGGCTGCCTCACTCAGATCTCCTCCCTAAGAGTGCTCTAGCGGTGGCAACTACCTGAGAAGGCGGAAGAAGCTCCATGCCTGATAATCATTTTGTTATCCATGTGGATGTTCACAAGAGAGGACTCTATGCTGACAAAGGGGACCTCTACCAAGACCATACCAAGAGTATAACGTGCTTGTCAGCTAAACGTGGAAACTGTATTGTACCTTGTTCCAGAGCAAGCAGATGTGCAGCCAGTTGCTTCCTGTATTCACAAGAGAAGTCCTGTGGAAATTCAGACAGGATCCTAGACTCTGCCAGAATGCATGGACTGCCACTGTTGTGAGAAGACACCATAGCAGCATGAAAAAGCTGTCCTGCTTGTCAGACCCTGGTCAAGGCTAAAAATACTGCCTTGGGACAGATCCACCAAACCACGGGGCCAGGCATTCTCAGCAGATAGAATATGGTGGGCCCCTCATCCTGTCCTTGGTGTTCCTCTAGATTCTGACTACAGTTGCTGTTTCTCTGGGTTTGTCTTACCTATCACCATGTGTTCCACTGACTTGGGCCCCATTATCTGGGTCCCACAAGACCACCCTGTTTCCTGTTCAGGTACCCTGAGAACACTGCATCCGATGATGGTCCTGAATTTGTGACCCAAGCCACACATTAGTGGCCCCAATCATGGAGTATACAATGGACTCTTCATGCTCTGTATTACTCCTAATCCACAGGAGTGGTTGAGCTTTTCTTCTTTCTTTCTTTATTTTTTTTGAGTTGGAGTCTCACTCTGTTGCCCAGGCTAGAGTGTAGTGGCACACTCATGGCTACTGCAGCCTCGTCCTAATGGGCTCAGGTGATCCTTCTGCCTCAGCTTTCCAGGTAGCTGGAACTGCAGGTGTGCGCCACCACAGCTGGCTAATTTTTTGATGTATTGTAGAGACAAGAACTCGCTATATTGCCCAGGCTGGTCTCAAACCCCTGAATTCAGGATCCTTTCGCTTCCACCTCCCAAAGTGCTGGGATTACAGGTGTGAGCCACCGTGCCTGGCATTTTAATGGACAGCTAAAGGTCAGGCATAACCTGCTGATTGTGGGATACAAGATTACCCCAGCCTGGACTACACATCTCAAGGGAACAGTCTGGAATCTCAATACAGCAGTTCCCCAGTCTGGTTCTTTTCACAGACATTTTGTGATCACTGAGCCTCATTACTGGAAAATGGTGGAAACCCTCCTAAAACTCAAGTTACCCGTTGCCAACCAAAGACCAGCCTTGCAAGCTTGTCTTTCTAAGCATAGCAGCTTCAGGCTTGCTGCATTAGCTTTTCTGCATCATGTAAAATGTAATAGAAAGGTGAGGCAATTAGGCATATTTATGTTTCTACCAAGTCCTACTTTAATTTTGTTTGTTGGATTTTTTTCCTTCTAATTATTTATTGTTGATCAGTTCTCTACTTTTATTCTTAAGATGTTTAATGGGTAGGATAGGGCTTAGAGGTCACTGGGTAGAAATCTTACATTAAAAATTTATTGAAAGAATTTTCTCCATGCTCTTGTTTTATCAATTTATTATCCCTATCTATACTATACACTTGTAAAGTGGATATGAGCATATAATCAAAGATTTGCTTTTTTGTTTTTGTTTTTTAGGTTTAAAGAAAATCGAAAAGATGACATTTGGCTTGTAGATGTGAGTATGTAAATTTTGTATGCTAATTACCTGCTCTTTACATTATGGTTTCTTCTTTCTAAAGATGGCAGTATACAATTAGTGCTTAGGTATATATTCAACTTGTTTTCCCAAATATTACATTTGAGTTTTTATATTAAATGAACCTCAGAGCTCTAAGTTTGTTCAAAAGGAAACTAATTTTTGATGAAAATTCTGGGGGTGAGACATTAAGAAGGGAAGCTGGAATCTAGAAACATATCTTATAATAGGGCAACTGTTGGAATTCTATATTAGGAATACAGGGTATGATTTTATTACACAATTCACTTTTATTTCTTACATTTTTCAAGATACTGAGTATATTAATATCACTTAGTGGTCAAAATCATATTTTTATCTTAACAGTGAACAAAATTAAGTTTCATCTTCCATTTCAAGTTTGGATTATATTTATACCCTGTGATAGATGAGATTTATTTTAACATGACTCCGCAAAAAGTAGAGTAGTAGCAAAAGAGATGGGATAAGAATGACAGAGTTGACAGTTATTGAAGTTACACAATGGGACGTGAGGATCCATTGTCTGATTCTTTTCTCCTCTTTCTGTGTTTGAACATTTCCATAGTCTAAAGCTAAAAAACCTTATTTTATGGAAGTACAACAAGTGGTTTGCTATACCACTTAACTAGGGGAACCTAAGAGTTACCCCCACCATCTGGTGATTCTAAAGAAGAATGAAAGACTGTGACTTGAGTTTAATCAACCTGACTTGTCTCTGTGCCATACCATTCATCTTAATGATCTCCCATGTATTGCCAGTGGTTACAATGAAAGTCAGCAAAACCACCTACTGTGTTCGAGTTGTTATAAAAGAAATAGATTGATGTTTATCATGAACACTTAGAAGGTGTACATGTGTTATGGTGTATGTATGTTTATTTGTTTTATTGATTTCATTTTATATAGAACATGGACACATTCACTCACAAGCAACAACATTTTAATTATAAATCATATATCTGTTTTAAGTTGGTATCAGTAGTCCTTTTAAATGAACTTTAGATAATACCAGTTTTGGAATATACTAGGAGTGAATCTATCTAGGTTTATGTGTGTGTGTTTTATCTTTTGTTATGCAACTACTTTAAAAATTATATTTAAATGTTTATCTAAAGCATTAGTAAAGCATTTAGTCTGAGAGATTCTTTAAATATTAAGATTGATATTTGTAGTAGCACATTTTAATGGTTATTTTTTTATTTTTTGAACAAGTTTTATGCACCATGGTGTGGCCATTGTAAAAAACTGGAACCGATTTGGAATGAAGTTGGTCTTGAGATGAAAAGCATTGGTTCTCCAGTTAAAGTTGGAAAGATGGATGCTACTTCCTATTCTAGTAAGCCTTTACTTAGTTTATTGTTTTACTGTTCTCATAGGAAAAATGTTTTTTAATTATATGCAACAGTATTCAGGTGAAAGGAGGATTGTTTTGGCTCATGTAAAATTAAAATTATCTTAATAATTTAAGACTGTATACTTTTTGAGTCAAATGAATTAGCCACTGAATATGTAATGTGTAATATATGTTAAATCATGTACCTAACATAGGCATTTAAGCTATAATTCCTACTTTGAGCCTGGTCTAGATAATCAACTTTACATAAGGCAGCTACAGTAAGTTGAGTGTTAAACCATTGATATTACTGAGTTAAGAATGAGAATTTGTTGTCTAAATAGCCTGAGATGGCATGGTAGAGAAAAAGAAAGGAACTTGAAGGATGAGCTGAGTGAGTTAGGATAAATAGAAGTGAGGCCCAGGAAGATGTTCACATTAGAAAGAATATTAGAGCAAAATCATAAAGCTGAAAATAAACTTAATGAGCGTGTACCAGAGAATAGAATGAAATGGCAGGTGGGCAGAGCATGGCCCATTGGTCAATTCTGTCGTGCTGGGATTTTTTGTTACATTATAACATATCCACACCCATTTGTTTACCCTTGTCCTTGACTATTTTCATGCCCTACTAGTAGAATTAAGTAATTGTGACAAACCATATGTCCCAGAAAGCGTAAAATATATGTCTTTTTCCATCAACATTTGTCTTAAAGGACATGGGAAAAGAAATTAAATTTAGGAAGTATGAAGTATTGTGGAATTTGGAAAAAACATGGCTTTCCAAAAGCAGACCTGTATTCAAATCCTGGCTCTGCTTGCTACTTTTGCTGTGTAACACTGAGAAAGTTTCTGAATACCCCTAAGCTTTGGTTTCCATTTCGGTAAATAGTTGATTGTAATTCTTTTACTGATTATTTTGAGGTTTGAATGATGCAACACATGTAAAATTCTTCATATTCAGTACATATAGATTTTCTTTTCCTGTAGTTAGCCATTAAAATGGAAATATAATGTATATTTCTTTTTGGAAAATCAGCATTATACTTTGGAGCAAGACAGACCTATGTTTTAATCTCAGCTTTGCCATGTCCTATTTTTGTGGCTTTTTGGGAAGTACTTAACCTCCTTTAAGTTTCTGTATCTGTGAGGGAGAGTGATAATCCTCAAGGTTGTGGAAATTATATTAATATTTTCTATTTAAAACCCCCTAGCCCAGTGACTCCATATATATGGTGATAAAGGATAATGTCAGATTGTTACAAGCCTCCCAGGTCTCAAAGTGTTTTGAATTTTATCAGTTGTCCATAGGGAGGTAGTATACATTTTTGAAGAGGCAGATGGTAAAAAATATTTTGGCAACTACTTTTAGGTTTGAAAAAAGAGCACTTAGAGACAGGGCAATCTTTTTGTGTCCTGGTGTTGATGCTGGGAGTTCATGGTTAGGTGGTAGGAGTAGAGTGAAGTGAAAACAGTAATTCTTATAGACATTTAAGAGTAAAATCATAGGTCGGCTCTGTACTGTAGAGAAAACAATACAGAATAATAGTATAAGATTCTCAGGATATGCTACCACTGGCTATGTGGAATCGAGTAAGTTTAATTTTGTGTGTGTTCAAGATACCAGCTATTTTGAATGTGTGGTCTTTTGCTTTCTTGATGTTTGTGATTAGGAAACTAGAATGTAGATGATATATTAGAGCTGGGACTATTGAGTCAAATAAATGAAGTGTTGAGATTTTGAGAGAAGACATAAATGGCAGGAAATTGGAGGGAGAGAAAGAGGGAAGGAAGGAGGGAGGGATGCTTGAGTCGATGTTTCTTGAGATTAGCTTTTAACAGTGTTTAAGAAGTTGTTCATGAAAGTAAGTTCTTGTTTCCAGATATATATGTTGATTAGACCCTACACACATAATTATTCATAGATGCATTTATTCATTTATATACTTAACATTTATTTGCAAATGGTTATTTGTCAACCCCTGTGCTAGTCTCTAGCTAGAGATTAAAGGAAGACCCAAACAAATCCTGCTTGTACTGGAAATGCTTCCAGCCTAATAGAGGGAAAAAGATGAAAAAACCAGAAGAGTAATAAAGTCTTAAAAAAAGCAGATTGTTGTGATCTCTTGAAATATTCAATGGAGTCATAGAGTGACATATAAAGGAATGTGGGAATTTTAAGGAACAGTGAGAAAATGGTTCATGTAAATCAGTAAAAATCTTAATGGTAAAGTATTCATGTGATACTTGAGTGATAATTAGCAGTTTACGTTATCAAATTCTTTATTATAGTATCTGATTCATTAGTTTATTTTTCAGTATTAAGTGCCCCATGTGCTACTATTTATTAGGTGGCACTATGATTAGGGAAAAAATAGTCAAGTTTTTTTCCTTGAATAATTTAGAGACGAAAGTGTTTTAAATGCTATGATTAAAAAGCAGTATATTTATAGATTTTAAAGCTTTGTAAACATTTTGCAACTTTTTAAGTACTTTTTGATAGGACTGTTTAAAGTTGCATTTTTTATAAATTACTCTGAGGTTTAATTTTTTTCCTTTGATGACATGATTGTAAATTTTATTTTTTGTTTACTTAGCATTATTTTATACATTGTGTTGAATTAAAAGGAGAAAAGGGTCTGTAGAGGTTGCAGTGTAGGAAACATACATTTATCTCAATCAAACCCATCTAGCTTTGGGAAAGAGAAAGCGGCTCACTGCCAATAGTGGGTCCTAATTATATAAATTAGGACCGCCGTCTACCAGGCACTGTGAGAAGTGCTTTTATATACGTTGCATGTTTACTTATTGGATATGGAATACCAAATTTCCTCCATCCGCCCCTCACAACTTATATTGCAACTTGCATGGTGGTGCTTGTTTGTAAACCCTAATTGAATGGTGTATTGAAAAAATAACATTTTTTTTGTAGAGAAGTTGTCGAGTCAGTGTTCATTCAATTAGTTGATATTTATTGCGTTTACCGTATGTTAGGCTATGCTAGGCATGTTCTAGGCATTGGTGATGCATCACTGAGTAAAAGAGATGATAAACTTTCTGCTATTATGGAACTTACATTCTTGTGGAAAGAGACAAACTACCAATAAACATTTAGTAAATTGCCTTATGCTATTTAGAGTTTAGTGTCAGCGATGGATGCATTTTCTACTTAAAGACAGATCAAGGAGATATTTTATGAGAAATTTGAACTAGTTATGATTTATCCTGCTTTGTGTTTGGAATTATACCTCAAATTTCTTGATGCGTGATTTAATTAATAATACCATAATCAAATAGCATAAGGAGTTGTATAATGTCCTTTGTACATTCAGATTATATCTTTTGGCCTCTTTTTGTACATAGTCTTTCAAAAATAAATATTAAAAAGTTTCTTATTTAGGAGTTAAAATATGACATAATCCTGCCTATTTGGCTTGCTGATTTCTATTATAGAACCACTGAAATTCTGTTTACTTTTCAACCTAAGTATGACATCATTTTATAATAAAGTTTATATTTTGCCTTTCTTTGTTGTGCAAATTGGCAGTGGCATTTGGCCAATAGCATTCTTATTCCGACTTCCCTTTCACAGATTATTGTTGCAAATTAACTTTACCTTTCTAGGTTATAAGCTCTTTTTGGTCCATGACTGTATTTTCAAGGTTCCTTAAACTTCCACTATTGAAGTTTTGGGCCAGAAAATTCGGTGGGTTTCTTGGTTTTTTTTTTGGTTGGAGGAGGGGTTCCTGTGCATTGTAGGTTGTTTAGGAACATCTCTGGTCTCTGCCAACTAGGTACTGGTAATATTCTCTCCTAACCTTTTACCCCCTCTCCCACTGGTTTTGGCAACCCAGATGTCTTCAGATGATGGCAGACTTCTGCTATACTTTATGCCTTTTTCATATTTGATACATAATGACACTCAATAAGTTCTAAGAAAAATAGTTTCTTTGAATTGAAAAGGATATCAGATTAACTCCTCAGTCTCTTTTCCTCTTTAATTTTAAAGAGCAGATAGCAGAAGGTAACTAGAGATGAAATGACTAATTTCACATACCAAAGTCAGAAAGAGAATTCTAGAATCGAAGAATCACCATGATTCACATTTATACTTCTGTCGTCAAGTTTTTATCATTTCAAGGAAAAAACAAATGAAGTAGAAGGCTTCATGTTTAATCTCATTTTATGAACACTTAAAATTGCAAAACTTCAAGGAAGTGACTCATGTTGTAAGTGGATTCTTCAATTTGTGAAGGAATTGATCTCAGGTTTCTATTCAAACCATTCTCCTCAAATATGAAAAAGAATAAAAAGCTTAAAGTCAGACTGAGTTTCAGCCTCAGCTTTGCTATGTAGTCATTATTTGCTCTCAAACAAGTTAGCAGATCTTCCTATTTTAGTTTCTTTAACTGAATTAGCACCATTTGCTCCTCCTCACAAAATTGTATCATGATGCAATTAAAGGATAGTAAGAGCAGTTATAAAATATTCTGTACGTTAGTTTTTATTCGTGTTATTTGTACATTGTTGTACAAGCAGGTAATTACTTAATTTAATCAGGGTCAAGAGGAGAAAGGAAATGGATCTAGCATTAAGAATATTTTGTGGGTCAAAATCTGTGTTAGATTTTCCATTTAATTTCTCATTTTGAAATCCCAACCCATAATCCTGCAAGATGAGCAATATTCTCAGAAGGGGAAGCAGAGAAGTTAAGAAACATATCCAGAGTTGTTGCATAGATGATAAATGAAGTTGGAATCCTATCCTGGGTCACTACATGGTTATAATCCACCCTTTGCTTATGTGATTTTAAAAAAATTTTAATTTTAATACTAGACTGCCATTCCCCCGAGGAATAAAGCTAAGACTGAAGTTTTAAAAGTCACTGTCAATTAAAATTCTGTCAGAAATGAAGGTTAATGTTCAAGGAGCCAAGGAGCTCTAGGTTGGTTGATATTATCTCCATCTTCTAGATGTGTAAACTGGGTCAAGGAAATGAAGCGATAAGGTGAAGTACAGAGCTGGGAGTTTTCTCCAAAGCCTGTTTTGAGGTCCACAATATCAGGCGATGAAATACACCAGTGTATTTTCTTTTTGCATACTTTATTATCTTTATTTGACTTGTTTATGAATAAATTTTAAAATAAATTATGTAAAGGGATTACTAGTGGAATATAACTTTTTCCCCTCCAATCAATTGTTAGTCTTTACATTTTGACAGTTTTGAATGAGTTTTAGTTGAAAGTAATGAGAGCTTATATTTACCTGCCTCCTTAATTTGGTAAGGGGGTATTAAAAACTTGCTTTACTCATATAATCTCCCCAAATCATTTCTGGGTTTTTGCTTGGAAGAAGACAGTCTCCATAACCACAGTCTTCAATTAGAATATACTTGACAGAATTAAGTCCTCAATCACAGACAAGCACAATAAATGATATACTTGCTTAGTTCACATGACTGTACAGAGGCAGGTCCGTGTCTTCAGAACATAGCTTCTTATCTGTTACTTCCACTGCTTGTGCTACCTCTTGTGAAAATACATGTCAGTCACTGCTCAGACCATTTCAGTCACCTCTCTGTGTATGTTTAAGGGAGAAACTCTTGAGAGGAAAATAGAGAGATTTTGGACATTATTCGCTTTGTCCTTATTCTTGTGAACCGGTGAGGTGTGATGAGAAACCAAAGATTAATGAAGATTACTTTGACTTTTAAACCGTAATCCAGATATAGTAGTAGTTTCCTTGTACCCAACTGTGATTAGAAAATATACTGGAAATTAAAAAAATTACAAAGGGAGAGATCATGTGAGTAACACAGTATAGTTTGATAAATATGTATTATAATGTTCATTAACTGAGAATATTTATTTCTTATTTCCTGTCCTAGTTCCTTCGAGGCTGAAAAGTAGTACAGAATCAATTTGGATATGATTTCTATACTTTTTAAAGTCCTAAATCCCTATTGATATTTGCTTGTTTTTGTTGCTATTTCTTCTTTCTCATCTAAAGACACTATGGTACCAACTATTTTTAAGTTTAATTGATGTGAGAATTTCAGAATAAACTTTGAGATCATTAGAATTATTCTGTTATCACAAAAAAAGAAACTCCTAAAATAAGTAGATGAAGTTGCTTTTTGATCATATATTGACTGTAGTAATTAAGTAATTTTGCAAATACAAGTTATGTTTTTAAAATTAGAATACACTGCAGGTTTTGAAGACTTAGAAAATATGAAAGAAAGATGGACCTTTTTTTTTTTTTAAGAGGAGTAAATGTGACCTAGAAGAAATATTTGTCCCTGGAAATGAAGTTGAATAAGAAGTACTTTATGTATTTTTTTAACAAGAATATCTTTTAAAATAAATACATTATAGATAAACTAACTATTCTTTTGACATTTATTTCTTGTTTTGTCATACCATTTTGTGCAGAACACAGATTGGATTATTAAGTAATTGTTTTGTATGAGAATGTCATTTTTTTTTCCTTTTTTGTGCGAGTTTATATTTTTTCTTAAGACTTGAAAGCATATTTATATGGGTTTGTAAAAAAAAAAAATATATATATATATATATATATACACACACATATATTTTAAGTAAAAGGCTCGTTTGTTACCTAGTTTCTCACTTTAAAAAATTTAGAATTATTTATTCTTTTTCTTATCAAGGCATTGCTTCAGAGTTTGGAGTTCGAGGTTATCCAACAATTAAGCTGTAAGTTGAGTGTTGTATGTTTATATGTGTATTTTTATTAGTTCACTCTACTTACGTTTTATTGCATTAATTTCTGGTAGCTTCCTTGGAGGACTGAAGATTTGGGATCAGCCATTCTTTTTAGGTGAAGTGTATGTTTAAGGAGAGGGTCTGCATCTGTATGCTTTCCTTCCTATTTAAGTAATTTTGTTGTTTATGGCTAATTCAGTAAATGTGTTTGAACGCTTGCTGTCTAACACACACTGTATAGGACAAGGTATACAGTCATAAATTATGAAATGTCTTTTACCATTGAGTAGCACAAGAGTGTATTCTGCTTTATCATTGAAAATCCAGTCTCCTAACAGATTTTACTTTTGTGTAATTGGAATAGACTTATTTCATTAGAGATAAAAGGAATGAAGAGAGTCAAAGTTGATGGATGTTAACTCTAATGTGTATGTGTTGATCCAGTATAATAAAGTGTACAAGTTGGAAAAATGGCATTGTTGGTTCTAAAGGACTTGTTTTATAATCAAGACTTTATTGAATTTCTTCATGTTATTCATTAAACTTATTTGGGAAGGTGAGAAGATGAGAAATTGCTTTGCAAGTTATTTTTATAACAAAGTATTTTTTTCAACATTTTAAAGTTTGAGTAAATTACATCTTGAGTTTTGTGTTGACTTTTTGCCTTCCCCCATTTTTTAAAAATGTTTGCTACGCCTCTTTTACTTTTTGTGTTAAGTAAAACATCTTTCCCTTCTGTTTAATTACAGGTATTCTGTTGTGCTTTCAAGTTTTTCTTTTTTAAAATTTCATTTAATTAGCCACAGTTTGATTAATTGGTAGACTTTTGGAAAATTATCTAATTTTCTAGGAGAGTTATTTTTATGCATTGTTTTACTCTATAATGTTGGAGCATCTATCCTGGAATTGTGATGTGGTATTGTTCTGCCTATTCGAAAATACTCTTAATTCCCTATCTTTCTATTTATCTTTCAACAGGGAAAATCATGTAAATCATAGTGCTTAAATTTTCCAAACTCTTGCCTGTGAATGTGCTTTTTGGAAGGCATAGACAAAATGCAGTTATCAAATACAGAGTAAAACAATTTCATGCAATTTTAATAGGATACAGCCTCTTTTTTCTGTATTTTGAGTTGCTGGTTCTCTGAAGCCAAATAAGTGCTCTTTCTAAAACCCTTCTGCATTTACTATTTTATATACTGTAACTTATTGCAATAGAGACTGGTTAGTATTGATTATTAAAACAGTTAAAATAATCCAAATTTTTATCTTTTTTTTTCTTTTTAAGATTAAAAGGGGACTTGGCATATAATTATAGAGGACCACGAACAAAAGATGATATTATTGAATTTGCTCACAGAGTATCTGGGTAAGTTATTAGGAAAGGCCTCTAGTATTTGAAAACTAAATATATTTTAGAAGACTATATTGAACACACATATTTTAGTATCTTACCTAAATAAAATTTGTTTATTTACTTAGTAGCATATCTAAAGAAATACTTTTAAGAAATAGGGACCATGATTTGTATTATATACTTATTAATATTCACATTTAAATTCATTTTGTGTACAGAAGAATTTTCTCCAAGGAATTTTTAAAACATTTTCAAAATTTTGATTACTTATAGCAACTTCGTGAATCTTAATTTTTATTTTATGACACATAATAATTTTGCTTTTGGATTGCCTGGTTCAGAGTTTTAAGAGAACCCCTAGAATATTGCTCTGAATAGACTTGAACTTTTATCCCTACCCTTTGATACTGGAAAATGCTTTTTTGGATACAGTTAAAATACTTTATTACCTGTTCTGTTGCCAAAATTGTGAGGTATCATTGCATTTTATGCTTTATGTGTGACATAATTAAATCCCAAAGATCGATTTGAGTTACAGATCTCTGAGGTTCTACTGTTAAGGAAACAAAATCATCTATAAACATTTCCTGTTGGTTTGAACTTGGTATTTTTTTTCTTTATAATCTATATCTTGCTGGAGCATTAAGAAAGTCAGTGCTTCCAATTATTTAACGTGATTATGTGGCAATTCTTTAAGAGAATATTTATCAAGCTACATTAGTCTTTACTGGCTTTAAAGTATACACACTTAGGAATTTAACAGGATGTAGTCTATTGATAGCTTTAAATAGCTTTAAGGTAAATTAAAAGAGAATGGATCTGTTGGTGGCGTGATACTGTCTTAAAGTATTTGAGAAAATTCACAGGGTTAGAAAAGATTTTTTATTAAAGTTTTCAGTGCTTACTAGTCTGATTTTTGCTGTATTTTCTCATTGGTACATATTTTATTTTCTTTGTAAATAAATACATTTTGAGATAACGTTTTATTATATGAAGAGAGTGTTAGTGGGATGTACTGTATTCTCCCACAATTTATATTTGTTTTAATGGTTTAGCAGTTTTTAATGAGTTTTAGTCTAAACATAAGGGATTCTCCTGATGTAACTGGAGGTTTCTCTGTTGCAAAAGAGATTTCAAAAGTCGGTTCTGGAGTTGCATCATTTACTAGTTAATTACTAAGTATTTAAAATAGAGGCTAGTGTAAAGTGATGCAATGCTTCTTAAGAATTGAACACTTTGAGAATAGGTGTGCCTTTGCAAAATATATTATTATTTTTACAAATTTGGTAGAGTGAAAATTCTGTAATATTCAGCATATTTAACAGAAGACAATCTTTTTAGTTTTTATATTTTATAACTGATAGGTTTTGTAATAACTTTGATATAATTTATTTCTCAGTTATTTGGCTCTGAAAATGCTTGCATAATAAAACTTTTTCTCTTTGTGAAGTTCTTGTGTACTATTTGACTATCATTTTCTGTTTTATTTTTTCTGAAAATAATTAATGATAGTTTAAAAACTTTTTGAATTTTAATCTGTATAGAGTACTTTAAGACTTATATGTATAGCATTTAAGTAGAGTAAGATGTAAATGTTCTTAATGTAGTACTGTGTACTCCTGGGATAGTATCTCACAGTATATTTTGTGAATGATTTTAAGAAAGGGAGAAAAAACTAATTATGAATTATTTTGTATTTAGATGTGCACTCTAAATAAATGATAGTTTTATTTTTGTCTGTCAAAATATTAGTCATGATAGTACTCTCTGAAGGGATGTGTACTTGTCACTTATGTTGAAACTGGTAAATTAAATTATGGGTACTTTGTCTTTAATATGAGGCTACAGTACCAGTCATGGGCTGCAGTTTTATTAGATTTATGTAGATTTTGTGATGTACTTATAATGCAGTTGATGTATTATTAAAACTTAATAACATGAGACATAATCAGCTATAGGATAAATATGAATAAATTATGCATTTTAGTTCATATTGCAAGTTTGTTGTTTTGTTTTCAAACAGAGCTCTAATTCGGCCACTTCCAAGTCAGCAAATGTTTGAACATGTGCAAAAGAGACATCGTGTATTTTTTGTCTATATTGGTGGAGAATCACCTTTAAAAGTATGAAATTATTTTATTCTTTGAATTCATAAAAGCAGATATATTGTAATTTAATTTGCTATATAGCCAAGACTTTACTATAAACTCAAAACATATACTGCTCTTACTTGAAATATTTTAATTCAATATAAATATTTTTTATAATAAAAATACTTTCTTGTATACCCTCTAAAGTGTTTGCCTTTATGAAACAGAAGTGAGTAAAAGTGGATAGATATTGCCTGACTTAGTATTTATCCTATTATTGACTTAGTTATTTAAATCTTGTGCTGCTTTTTTAAAATTTTGAGTCTTTCAGACCGCAGACTACAATTTTCATGTATACTTAAGGTTATTTGTTTGTGTGTGTGCACATCTTCCTGTAATCATCACCATCATCATTCATTGTCTGTTTTATAATTAAATAATTATAATTAAATTAATAATATGAATTGCACTTGCATTATATTTAATGAACTTTATTTGAATGCGTATAAAAGCACTTAGTTACAATGATCTTTTGCCTTAGAAGCAATTTATTTTCTTATATTACATTATTTTTCACCTTAAAGTATGTAAGGTAGCAAAATACTACTAACTGCATAAGGTAACCTTGATTGTTTACTGAAGAATGAATTTTGATCTTTAATATTTTTAAATGACTTGTTTATATTTTCATAGGAGAAGTACATAGATGCTGCTTCAGAATTGATTGTATATACATACTTCTTTTCTGCGTCAGAAGAAGTGGTTCCTGAGGTAATTATTAAAATTGGATTTTAATGACACTATTTTATCTCTTAAATTATGACTTGATTTTATTATCAGATTTATTTACATCAGATTTATTTAAACTCTGCTACTGGTATTATATTGATTATTATTAATAAACAAATACCATCAAATTCACAGGATTTAGGTATTGCATTTCTTTTTCTCTTTAAAATAATAGTATTGATGACAAGTTATTCTACAAACTCTTAGATTGCCTTACAGGTGGTGGGTTAATATGTTGCGTGTGTGTGTGTGTGTGTGTGTGTGTGTGTGTGTGTGTGTGTGTGTGAGTGAGTTAGTGTGTTGCGGACGAGTTGTACGTTGGGGTCCCAGATTGAGATACTCATCCTCAGTAAACAAATCTATGATAAGAAAATCCATGAAAAAAAGATGAAGAGGCAGTAATAGTTGGGGCATATAGGAGTAGAATGGATGATCTAGACTGGTTGATGAAGAAATGTCAGAAAAAAATACTTGAACTGGACTTAGCTTGACGTGAAGGAGTCATGCAAAGATTTGTGGACAGACTATTCCAGAAACAGAAATAGATGATGCAAATGCCCAAGATGAGAACACAGCATGCTATTTGAGGAACAGAACAGTATGCAGTGATATAGGAGATGGGCAGAGGCCAGTGTAGTAGGCCTTAGGACTCATGGGAGTGCCTTTGGTGAGGTTGAAGTTGGTGAGGAACATGATCTGATGTTCATGTTAAGGACATTACACAATGCTATTTGCAGAATGAGTTGAATGAATGTGAGAGTAGATCCAGGAATGTCATTTGATCTTTTGCATTAATCTAGGAAATTTAAACTTGAGACTTTCTGAGAGAGTTGGGGAAAAGTGAAAGGGTGGTTGTGTTTAGAAGGTAGAATGGTCAGAGCTTGCGGATACGGAAGCAAAGGGATGAATCAATGATGACTCCTAGGTTTTTGGTTTGAATGACCAAGTAGAAGATGTGATTGTCTATGAACTTGGGAAATATTGAAAAGAAAATGATTGGAAAATGAGAGATTAATCAAAAGCTTTGAATCGGTCACTTCATTTTATTTATTTTTATTTTTTATTTTTTGCAGGATTTATTAAGAGGACAGAATAGCTCTCACAGTGGGAGGGGACCAGGGCGGGGGGCTTTGCCCTGAATTTTAATTTGATTCTGCATTCCATGTTAGGCATTCACATACAAGTGTCAAATAAGCAAATAAGACATAGGGGTCTAGAGTTAAATCAGTGCTGTATAAATAAACTTCTTAGACATGGGGTGCAATTTTTTTTTTTTTTTTTTTTTTGAGTTGGAGTCTCACTCTTGTCACCCAGACTGGAGTGCAGCGGCCGCTCCCGGCCACCGCAGTCTCGACCTGCTGGGCTCCGGCGATCCTTCCACCTCAGCCTTCCGAGTAGCCGGAATTACAGGCGCACGCTACCACGCCCAGCTGATTTTTTGATTTATTGTAGAGATGAGGTCTTGCTGCCCAGGTGGGTCTCGAACCCGCAGGCTCAGGCAATCCACTCACCTCAGCCTCCCAAAGGCGCGGGATTACAGGCTGAGCCACCAAGCCCGGCGGGGTGCAATTTTTTTAAGGAAATAAGAGTCTAGAACCTGATGATAGCAAAGGAAAATGAGAAGAAATAGTAAAGGGAATAAAAGATGAGTGGAAATCCACAATAAAGTGTTTTAAAAAGGAGTGACCAGTTGTGTAGGATGCTTGCAAAGTGATCAAGGAGATGAGATGAGGATGATAACCCTGATACTTGTCCACATGGAAGTTGGTGGTTTTGAGAGGAAGAATTTGAGAGGAGTAGTGGGGACAATACCTCATTGGTGGCATTTGAGAGACGTCAAGGAAGGTAAGAAAGTGGAGACCACAAGGATAGACTTCCCTTTAGAAAAGTTTTAATGAGAAAAGAACCAGAGAAATTTGGCAGTTACTAAAGGGAAACATGAAAGAAATCAAGGAAACTTTTCTTTTTTTCATAGTAATCAATCTGCTATTAAAAAAATTGAAATTTTTTTCACAAAGCAAGTCATATTATTACATTTGATTACTTTTAAATATTTAATGTTTAAGTATTTTGTTTTAAGAAGATTGCAGACTTACCTAGAATATGTTTTTAATACTTCCTACAATATGCAATACTTCATTTTTCATCTACTTATTTACTTGTCATTATTTTCAGTATTACCATGCTCATGTCATAATTCTTTGTGACTTACCCAAATTATTTGTCTTCTGATCTGATACTTATTTTCTGACCATAGTTTTACTCTTTCAAAATGACTACAACTCAGGTATAGGCAGCAGTACTCTATGAATGAATCTCTTAATACCACTGTAAGTTGTCTATAAAGCAGTTTACCAGTTTAAGCAGTGCTCTCACTTATGTTATCTAATATGACTCATAACTACCCTGTGAGGTGGGTTATCTCAGTGTCCTTATTTCGCAGATGAAGAAGCAAATTCCCTTAGGTCATTGTCGCACAGCCCATGAGTGGTGGAGAAGGACCAAACCTAGATAGACTGGTTGATGCCTTATCCCTTTTTTCGAGTCAGAGTTTCACTCTGTCGCCCATGCTAGAGTGCAGTGGCATGCTCACGGCCACTGTAACCTCAACCTGCTGGCCTCAGGTGATCCTTCCACCTCAACCTTCCAAGTAGCTGGAACTACAGGCATGCACCACCACGCCCAGCTAGTGTGTGTGTGTGTGTGTGTGTGTGTGTGTGTGTGTGTATGTACTTTTTTTATTATTTATTTATTGTAGAGACAAGGTCTCACCTTGTTGCACAGGCTGTTCTGAAACCTGTGGGCTCAGGCAGTCCTCTTACCTCGGCCTCTCAAAGTGCGGGGATTACAGGTGTGAGCCACTGAGCCCAGCTCCCTGGTGTTCTTAATCCCTGCCACTTCAGAGTGTTTTCCATCCCTTACCATGGTGGCATCTTTAGGTCTGTTATTAACCAGAATGATTCATGTTTTTTACCAGAGCAAACAGGACTCTGTGCCAGGGGATGTATAAAGAGAGTCACATTGATTTGTTGGATGAGTTTGGGATTGATTGTACTTTTTTAACTGTTTATAACATTATTTTTCATTATTGTTGTGTATGTTTGTGTTTTCTGGTATCTTTCAGTACTTTTGAAATTATAACTACCAATTAAAATTTTTTAGTGATAAAAGTTAAACTTCTGATTTTTTATAGTACGTGACACTAAAAGAGATGCCAGCTGTTCTTGTTTTCAAAGATGAAACTTACTTTGTTTATGATGGTAAGTTACAAAGCTTTTTAACTCATAAAAATTTTAAAATTAAAGTGTTGTGTCTCTTATAGGACTTAGGTATAAAGATTTTGTAAATGCTGATTCAACTTCAGTTTTTCCATCTAGTGTTCTTTCATTGTGAGTTTTGCCTACAGCAAATTTTTTTTCATCAAATTATTTGCCTTTTGGGAAGTGAACCCTATGCAGTTTCTATATACGACTTTGAAATGTTCAGAATTTATTATTTTTTTAAGCATCGACATTTCAGAGACACAAGATTTAAGGAAATAAAATATTCAATAGTGTTGAAGCCCCTGTGTATCCTTCCCTAGCTGCACCTCTCCCTTCCTGTTAGAAGTGAGCACTTAACCTGCTATTCAACATTTCTTTATTCAAGCAATAGTTGGTCTCTTTTTAAAGTTTTAAATGATGATATCAAAGGTATATTCTAGTAAAGAGAATGGTAAGTAGGACATTACATGTACCCATCACAGTTAAAAATTAAACAGTTTCCGGGCTCGGTGGCTCAGCCTGTAATCCTGTGCCTTTGGGAGGCTGAGGTGAGTGGATTGCCTGAGCCCACGGGTTCAAGACCCGCCTGGGCAGGA